GAGAAGTGGGGGGGGTGCAGGAGAGGAGAGGGAGACACAGCAGGGGAGGAAACCCGGGAGTGGAAGGAGAAGAGGTCCCCCTTAGGCTCCTACCTAAAGTACCGGCCAGGAGCCACGTTGAGATAGAGGAAGTGGATCTTCTTCAGTTGCCTCTCTGTCTTTAAAATGGTCATTGCCTGGCTACCCAGGAGGGAAATCGGTGGCAAGAGATCAGTGCTGCTTTTTCGGAAGGTCCTCTTTCTGGAAACTTCAGAGTCAAGCTGAGACCTGGATGAGAAAAAGTCAGGAGAGACGAGGCAGAGCGAAGGGTTCAGGCTGCTACTGTTAAGAGGGGGAGCCAGGTCGGGTGCCCAAGAGGACCTGGCCCTGTCAGAGCCTCGCTACCACCTACACGAGCAAATACAGCCCATGATACAACACAGCCAGGCAACCATATTCACAGGGGCATGTGCACGGACAACTCCTTCCTTTCTGATAAATGACCAGTCACTGCGGATTGATTGTAATTGCTGTGAGGTAAGTATTATGTAACACTGAGCGAAAGTAATGGGAGTACTTTTCTTTTCCAGACTCACCACCTTGCGAGCCCACAGTCCTGGATTTCTCCTCTCTGGCAACCTTCCTCACCTTCTAGGTCTTCTGTCTTTCCTCCCATTATACTCACTTTCCGACCCTACATGATCTCCAGGCCTGTGATTCTTTCTTGCTCTTCCCCCATCGTCACCCAACCTCTAGCTTCACATCCTTTCCTTTCCAGCCAGGATCCAATGGTGCATCCTTCAACCCCCTCAGTCTTCTTACACTTCTACCACACCAGTCAACAAAATGGATATGAAAGTAATTATCAAGAAAGCAAATGTTAATAATCTGGACTTATAATTTTGGTTGGAGTGACCTCAGAGTGAGCACATGCACACACACACACACATCTCTGATAATTAAACTTAGACTTAACCAGTCAGAGTATACCAGTGTCATTAATTGACCCAAACCTAAGTCAACAGAACAAGTTACCCCAGGGATAACAGTACAGTCCTATTGTAAAGTTCATATCAACAATTGGGTTTATGACCTTGATGTTGGATCAGGACATCGCAATGGTGTAAATGCTATTAAAGGTTCATTTCCTTAACAATTAAAGTCCTATGTGATCTAAGTAGGTTCAGAAGGTCACAGAACCAGGAATATTGGCTCTTCTCTGGTGTCCAGTCTCAACTGTGGGCTCACTCTGCTCTAAGGACTTAGTGCCGGTCCTCAGGAAGCTATCTCTTTCAGTGTCCTCAGCTGCTCACCAGGCCTCCACCAACCCCTGCCCCATGCCCAACCCTGCCAAGGCCCTAGTCTCCTCCCTTTTCTGTCCAGAGAAAACTGAGGCTGTCGGCCATGAACTAACTCCCTCAAGTTCAGCTGCCTTCTCACATATTTATGTACACCTACTCCCATCCTAATCTTGCCCCCCAATTTGAGAGGAGTGAGTTTCCTTTCTTCTCTACAAGGTTAATCCCTCCATTTGCACTCTGGATCCCTTACTCCCTCCTTCATGAGGAATTTTCAATCTATTCTCCTTACCATTAGCCTATATTTATTAAACCACATTTGCTAGGCTTTACATATATTTATCAAACACCCACTTCTCAAGCACTGTCTTAAGAACATCTCTCCATTCTTTTTTTTAAAAGAGTCCTGCCCAGACATCACTCTTCTTTCAATCTACTGTTCTATTATATCTCTCTCTCCCTTTCAAGCCAAGCTTCATGAAAGAAAGATAAAATGTGATTTCCACTTCATCTCCTGTTCACTCCTGAATGCACTGGCTTCCTCCTCACACCACAGCACTGAAACGGCTTTCACCAACCTCCTCCTAGTTGTTAAATTCAACGAACATTTTTCAGGTTTTTCTTACTTGCCTCAGTAGCATTTAACAATACTGACTGCTCCCTCCTCCTTAAAACTCTCCTTTTATTTCACCTCCTAACCTGCAAGATATTTTGACTCTAGCCTAAACCCAAATTCCTCTGACATGCTTTCCCCTAACTGTAAACACACACACCAGAGGAGCAGCCAGAGGAAAGGCAGTGTTCCTGATTTTATTAGCACAATTTGTAATTGTATGTTACTTGTATCGATTTATTTAACATCTATATCCCTAACCAAGCTGTGAGACTCAAGGGAAGGGATTGAGTCTGTCTTGTTCACTTCTGTATCCTCAGCATCTAGCAGTTCCTGATATACATTAAGTATCCAATCCAATAATACTTATTGAATGAATGAATGTCTGGGAGACCAGTCCCAGAAAAATGCATGCAAATTAAACCATATTTGCTAGGCCTCAGAGGTTTACCGCCAGCTCCAAAGAGAGGGCAGAGTTTTTAAAACTTCCCAACATCTCAGCCCATTTCACTTCAATTAACTTCCCCAAGGAAAGGAAACTTGCACTCAGGGCACAGTGTAAAAGGAAGTCGGCTGGGGTTATTGAAGGCATGAATTGTTGGCACTGGCTACCCCCCCTCAGGGCCTCCAGGGCCTATCTGTCCACCATTAGGGCTCTAAGGCTTCAGGGAAAACTTGACCCAGCCATTAACTTAGAACAAAAACTTACAAAGTCGAGCTTGATTAAAGGTAAAACTACGCTTCTTCCCAGATAGTGAATGTGTCACAGATAAGGGGCAAAGCACTTAGAAAATCAACCCGGAGGACAGGGAGGGATTCCAAGACTAGAGCTAGAGAGCTCTCAGAAGAAGAGGCTTCTGTTGGCTTTCTGAAGTCCTGAAGAAAACAATGAGAGCCAGACTGGGGGGTGGGGGGGTGGGGGTGGAGATCATCACTAAAGGGGCCAGGATATCCACACTGGCAAGGCTGGAAGAAGACCCTGGAAGGATCAGAATGGAAGTGCCCTCAGGCAGTGCTGGCAGCTCTAAGCTGCCTTGGAGCTGGCTTAGCTCACACTGACATTAGTGGGAAGACTTCAGACAAGCACTCACCTAGAAACATCCCGAGGAAAAGACCTGTACCCAGCGTCCAGCACCCAGCACTAGGCCAGCCGGGAGCGAGGCTCAGGGATTATGGGTGAGAGGGGAAGAACTAAGGAGGCTTCCAGGACCATCTGAGAAAGAAGTCTGGAGACTCTGGGAACTCAAGCTGTCCTCTGAAGCTTTGGCTTCCACATAGCTGACTTGATTTTCATGAATTTCTGCATTTTCCTACGGGAGTTAACACTAAGACCACTGGGTTAATTCTGCAGACAAAAAGGAAGAGAGGAGCAGCCTCACACCAGCTTGGCTTAGGGTTAGGCTAATCCCTAAAGTCAGTAGAGGGGTGGCTTTGGACAACCAAACAACCCAGGAGGCACCCATAAACAGGCCTCTTTCTCTCCTCTGCTCAAAACCCCAGACTGGGTCCCTCACTTACTTAGTCTTTCTTCTTCCAACAGGCTCCTGCTCTGTGTCGCCAGTGCCACTGCTCTCATACTGTACAGGGATGTCTGTCCCCAGTGCCAAGGGCAGAAGGCTAAGGCCATCTTGCCACTGTGCCTCTTTCAGAGCCATCTTGGCACCAACAATTCCCAGGCTGTGCTGTAGCTCAGGCAGAGTCAGTGGTCGTAGCCACGTGGCTAACTCCGCTTCTCCTTGCTGCCCATCCCTCCTGGCCCGAACAAAAGGGCATGCCGGGAGTGGGGGGCCTGGACAGAACCTCTGCTTCTGAAGACAGCAGTCCACATGGGAGGCGCTCTCTAACAAAGACGAGTCTGGGGGAAAGGCCTGGTCTATGGCATCTAGCAGGTCCAGCTGGAGCTGGGATTGGACCCAGGGTGCCCAGCGGTACAGCTGCTCCAGGAAGGGCAGCAAATCAAGGTGGCCGGCCAGCAGAGCACGATATGGAGGCAGCAGACGCAGCACTGCATACAGGTAGTGCCAGGCTTGGGGGCTGCCATCCTGCAGCACAGCTGAGAACAGAGTTCGGAGCTCAGCTACCAGGAGCTCCAGCCCCGGGAGCGACTGAGTCACTGCCTTCAGGAACTGCTCCTGTCTCCTCTGGCAGTGCCGAGGCTCAAGGGCAGCAGCTGATGCCTCTTCGGGAGACGAGTCTACCCGCATATCCGAGACCACCAGGAGCTGGGCGTTCAAATGCTGGCGGACAGACCTTGCCCACTGCTCAGGCTCCGACTGCCAGTTCCAGGGCCCCGGCTGCTGGGCCTCACCTGCTTGCCCAGCCCAGGAAAGGAGCCAGAGAAGGGGGCCTTAGGCTCTGGTCAAGGGACGGCCAGGGTCAACAGGGTTAAGGGAAAGAAGAAAGGAGGGACTTAGGACAGGGAAATGGGGGCTGCGAGGTCGAGCCAGACCAGCAGAGGGCCTTTCCTGGGACCCTCAGCCCCACCTACAACCTCCCCAAAGGCTCTGGTGCGAAGCCCGCTAGGACAGAGGTGGGGGCGCTCCCCGCACAGGTTCCTCCCCCCCACCCAGGACACTGTCCCCCTCACCTGGCTGACGGGGTTTAGGAGACAAGGGAAGGGCGGAGACGCAGATCTGCCGGTGAGGCTTCATCGGGGAGGTTCTGCTGGGGAAACAGGGACTCAGGCTGGGTCCTGGACAGACTCACTCTTCTCACAGCCGCCCCCACGCAGGCTGTGGCCACCCCAGCGGGAAACCGATGCCCACAGGGAAAGGCCCGCGCAGAGCGCCGGGGGCAGCGGGAGCCGCGGTCT